CCTTTTTGTGCAAACTGCGTAACCGTAGTGTGTAGTGTGCGAGCACGTGTGATTGCAGTAATTCCTGTGTGCTGTATAGGTACTGTATGCTAATTTCCGTTATTATAGTTAACTATGCGAAGTGATATGGAACTGTAATGCGGTCAAGAAAGCTGCCTGGAACTACATTTTCCCTGTGCGTTTCCCTGAAAATAATTGCACGCCTCAGAACGTTCGTCAGCCAATCAGATTCAAGCATTCAACGGCCCCGTAGTATATAAATATATATATATAATAGAAAGGAAACAAGTAGACAGAATAGAAAAAGAATAGAGAATGCTAGAGGGTAATTAAAAAATATATATATATATAACAAGTCGAAAGAATAGAGAATGCTAGTGTTAGAGGGTCAATTAAAAAAAAAAATAGTAATGCACAATATTTTACTAACACAACCATAATTATAATACTGCAGTAGCCTATATATATATATATATGTGTGTAATGGAGGGAACACAGGAAGCGTGCGGATCCATCTGCAAGGCTTTATTCGCAAGAGACGTGGTCAAAAACAGGCATAGGTCAGACAATGGCAAACGGGTGTATTGATGGCAAGGCAAGAGGGATAATCCAGGTACAAGGCAAAGATCCAGGCAGGGGCGAACAGTATCCAATTGGGCGAGACTCGAGGGATAATCCAGGTACACAGGCAGTGATCAGAACACGGGGAAACAGACAAGGCAAGATGATGAAAACAAGGAAAAACAAGACACTAGGCTCGGTAAGGCAGCTAACACTAGAGAAGTGAAAAACGCTAGACAATACACGGCGAGCTGAACAGGAACTGAGTGGGTGTTAAATAGAGTGAGTAATGGCTCTCATGACACGTGAGGTCTCAGAGAAATTCACTAAAATAAAATGTCCACTACAGAGGCAAAAACTCCATATATATATATATATAGAGAGAGAGAGAGAGAGAGAGAGGCTATATATTTATATATTACATATACTGTATATGTAATAAAAATAACAGACATCCAACACTAACAAAATAATTGACAATAATGATAATAACATAATTTTGCTATTATTATTATGTAAAAATTAATTTAAATTATTTAATTATCAAAAATGTTCTATGACCTTATATGACTTTAAAATATATATTTTATTTAATTCAAATATTGATTTCGTAGCCGAGATGACCTGTTTGAGTAAAAGCTGTAGGCCTACATCTGTCCGCGCCGCTGGATGGCGCTGTAAGTGCTGTGATGTTAGCACTCAGTAACTATTTATAGAGAAGATTCAAGCAGGTTTATGAGAGAGTTTAATTTTCTCTTCATGTTCACCGATGCAAAAATTTAATTATATATATATATATTCTGAATAATTCTCTAGTTTAGCTCTCATTCTGTTGAAAGCAAACCTGCAGTCTCAAACTTTATTATTGTACATACTTTGTACTGATGTTCCAATAGGCCTTACAACCAAATAAGGGAACATCCAATGGATTGCCTAATAACAATTGCCTCAGAGAGCAGCACACTCTTACTGATTTCTCAGGGCCATAACCAGTCTGTTTAACTTCAAAGGATTAATTGGCTCTTTTTTACAGCTAATATTCTGAAAAATGTTTAAGATCTTCTCATCAGAGAGTTTGTATGCAGGTTTGAAGTTTGAAAAATCAGATGCTTTAAAGGGAAGATAAAGAACAGGTAAAGGTATATAACATCGTAACATACAGTGACTCCAGTTTGAACTCCAGCTCATCTTCTCTTGATAGCTATGGTATTGTGGTCTCACAGGATTTGACCTACTGCAATACCTCTGCTTCTGTGCAGCCACAAAGCCAGCAGACTGCCTGCTGATGTTGATCATTTCCTCTGGGATCAGTCGGTGAGTGTGGTTAGGTGGTGTAGTACAGATGTTTAGCGTGTGCACTGCTGTAAGTGTGTGAACTCTGCCCTTTTACTCTCTCATTCCAGCCAATTATGCTTTGAAACCCAGTCCTGCTCTGACCCAACGGAAACTCTAAAAAGGTAATATATGTATTTTATTATTATCATCATCAAATCATTTTTGATCACATTATTTGAAATGTAAAAATTTAAAAATTATCATTTTAAAAACATTTTTGTAATGCCCACAATATGTACACAAAGTAAACTACATAAATCTACACTATATCATAAACTTTATTGCACTGGTACAGTATATTATACATGGAACATATAGAAATAAAATTAAACACAGATATTTAATGTAGAACTGCTGTTGTCAGATGCAATTGTTGCTTAGTGACATCCAATTATTGAGTGATTTCAACAGCATGATTTGAATATGCTATATTTTGTTTTGTTCTTAGCAGATTGTGGTTCAGTTTAAGCTTTGAGGTCAGTTGATCATAATAAAGAATAAAGATCAGCTTATAAATGATCAATGAGGCTCAAGTTATAAGCAGAAAGACTGCAATAGCAGGAGCTTTACATCTGTACTGATTCTAATTTCCATATAAAATAAACTATATACTGTAAAATAACTAGTTCACCAGCCTAGTCACCATCCCAGTCACCTTACTTCATTAAGGACTCAATTTCCCAGCATCCCGCCTGCTTCACACAGGTGTGATCCCCAATCAGCACACCTGCCACCATTCACCTCATCACCTACTATATATATAAGCAGTCACTTTTCACACCCTCATTGTCTGGTCTCATCAAGGTTTACCCATACCGGATTCCTTTCCTACTCACCTGCATTCTCACGTCCTGACATCTCGTCTTCAGCCTGCCAACCTGCAAAGAGGAAAAGAAACATTGTTACTCCTTACCTGACTCACCTACCTGGACTCTCACCCGTTACCCGCCTGTCTTCGCCGTCTGCATCATGTCGGGCCTGTAAAGAGATACAAGGATCGGTTATCAACCTGCGCGAAGTCCAGTCATTCTCAAAGACTCTTGAGTTACTCACCCGTTTGCTCTGCATCTCTCCCCTCCGCACCAAGCTGTAAATAAAGACATTACACTTACCTGTCTGTCTCCCTGAGGTCTCCTTCTGTAGTGTGACAATATGCTGAAACAATACATGATTTACATTGAATTATTAAATGCTGCATTATAATAATAATATATTAAAATGACAAAATGTTGAGTTAAATATTTATTATTATTGGTATGCCTGGAGAGCATTTCCTGGTTGTGTTCCTTAGATGAGCACAGATTGTATCTTCTTGTGAATTATTTCATGATACCTAACATGGATCCACCCATCTGGCTTCAAACACTTTTAATACATATCTTAATTTCCCTGTGGACGGAGTAATGCAATATTCACGAAACCACATGATGAATGTGGCCTTGATAAACTGCATAAGCAAAACACACAGATCCAGAAATGCTGTATTCTTGTGATTGCGTGCAACATTTCGACCCACTTTAAACTCCCAGATGTTGCTTTTACATTCTTCATGATGACGAATGAAAAGAGAAACATTGATAGTAGAAGGTCATTAATGCAGCACTGCTGTGTTTATAAGCACCATGCATTTCATGAACCGCTGAGCGGCATGCAACAGTAGTATCACTTTTTCTATTTGACTAGTAAAAAAGACACCAGAGCTCTTTTCCATCTGTGGTACTATGTCCCAGCTGTAGCTTTTAGGACTCACATCTGGGACATCTTGCTAAACCCATGAGATCAAACTCTGCAACTCTTCAATCTTGCTCTCTAGCACATTTGGTCCAGGCTATTAATGTGTCCTTTGTTTAATGCATATTTGTAAGCTGTTTTCACCAATCTCTCTAATGCCTCAATGTTGCTGTGTGCAATAGAAATAATTCTTCAGTGAGAGAATGAGATCATCACGTGCTCTTTTCTGAAAAATACTCAAGCCAATTCAATTAAAAGAATCAGTGTTGATTCTTGAGACATGGTACAAAAAGGATACATTTTCATTTTGAGTGTTATTATACACTGTTATAGCATTTATTCATATATTTTAAATTTGCTTTTATTTTTACATTTTCAGTTTAATTTAGTTGCAAGTTTTAGTAATTTTGTTATTTTTTATATTTAGCTTCAATTTGTTTTTAAGTTTTAGTTATTTTAGTACTTCAAGTTATTTCAGTTCTAATGTGTCTTAATTTATTTCAGCTTTTCAGTTAACAGTTATTTTAATAGTTTTAGTAAATTTGTAAATTAAATTTTATTTTATTTTACAATAACAACTGATAACTGATAACCACTATAGGTTTATTTTATTGAAGATTTAAAAAAAAAAACATTAATTAATGCGGATTAATATATATTGAATAAAAATAAGAAATATCAAGTAATCATTGCAAGACATTTATAAAAACGTTACTATACATATAATAATAAAACTTATATTTATAAAAATCTGGTAATCTCAGAGTCAGCCTTTTGATGATTAGATTATTAGTCTTTACTCAAAGATTTTCAGTTGGACTGAGGTGAAAATTCAATATATGGAGCTAAAAATCTGTTTATTACCATCCTGTAGTATCAATTAATTTTTTAATTAGGCAAATGCTTGAGTTGCAATTATTTACTATATTTTACATTACCATACACATTATCATCATGCTGTGTTGACACTAAATTACAGAAAGTAAAAACACACATTCAGTGAAAAAAATGGAAGAAAACAATGTATATTTTCTCAATTCTACCACTTGTTTTGTCCTAATTTAACCATTCAGTTCTTAACTTGGCTTTATAAAAGAGAAGCATATTGCCACACACAAAATTTACAGAGACAAGCCAGAAATCAAAGCAAGAGCTTAAAACAAAAAGAGTTTTAAAGAGATTCATTCTTATCCAGAAATATTCCCTCTTATGCTAGACCTAAAGGAAAGACTACAATGAATCTCTCTCTGTTCCTGTGCGAGGGATTACCCACGTGACTCTTTTAATGTCAGTAAAGCCAGATGGTCATATGCTCTCGGTCTGTAAGTCTCTGTGTGTGGGATTGTGGCGCATCTGCGTGTGATTTCTTTTATGTGAGCATGCGTGTCTTGTTTTGCACAGGACAGTTGCTGTGAGTTCACCTGGTCTCACATAACAGTCACACAGAGGCAGGGGCAGACTGCGGCCTGGAAGATGTAAACTCATGGTCTATCTCTTTTACTTTTCGTTTCGACCATTACTCCCTTGAGGGAATGATAAGAAGGCTTAAGCCAATATTCTTGAGATTTTTGCCAAGGCCACAATTTGCAATCTTCTAGGAAAGTTTTTAATGTGGCTGATGTATGACCTCTGGTGGCCTTTGAGCTTAGATAGAATATACAGCCAAACACCAGTGCTAATGGATGTGCTTTTGTTTTTTTCCAGGGTGATCCGACAGCCCTGCACCGGGCAGCTGTTGTGGGAAACCGTGACGCCATCTGTGCCCTCATCCGTGGAGGCTGTGCACTTGATTTACAAGACAAGGTCTGTTCATTTGCATTACAAAAATCCTTATATTGTTTCCTAACATTATAATATCAGAATTGTTATAATTTATACAAATCAAGATTCAGGAATCCGTAAATAAAACTGTCAGATGTAAAAATCCAGACTATTGTTCATCTCACTGCACAGGGAATGAGTTGATTTTGTTAACTGAAAATTTTTTTTTTTTTAATTGTGGTAAAATCAGTGCAATAGAATCTGATTTTCTTTCATCAGGAAGGAAACACTGCTTTGCATGAGGTATCATGGCATGGATTCAGTTCATGTGTAAAGCTACTGGTCAAAGCTGGGGCCAATGTCCAAGTGAAGAACAAAGTAAGTCATTTTCATGTGCATTATTTTCCATTTACTTTGAGATTAAACCAGGTTTTTATATATATATAAAAAAATGCGTATATATATATATAT